GTGGAATTTGGGAAAGCAAGCGATCTCACCCACAGAAACTCAGTGGGGACACCGAGCACGGGCAGGTTCACTGACAGAGAAGGTGACTGTCTGCGAAGGTAACGGTTGAGATGGCCGAGATGTTTTTTTACGAAATAAGGGAGGGCCTGGTAAATCAGGTTGCAAGAGATAGAAATATGAAATAAGACTGAAGACTGATGACCAGAGGCCCCTGTGTTTTGCTCAGAGGTTGTGAGTGACAGGAGAAGGTGGCCTTGAGGCTTCGGCAGTGATGGCTGGGGCTGCCAGGTCCCTGAGACCCCTGGAGGTGGCCAACTATGGTACAGGAACTCTCTTCACCCCAGGAGGAGCTCCAGTGTGGCTGTGCCCGCAACGGGATGTAGAGGCAGGTTAGACTGACTAAGGAACGTTCATCCAACCACCCACCAGACAGAGGCCCAGCACAGCTCCCCTGACTGCAACTGTGAACTTTCCCTCTGTCACAAGCAATGCAGCCACTTGTTTTCCAGTGTTCTGGGAGGTCAGGAGAAGTTCTTCAGAGACAGGATTAAGCAGCAGCAACAGGCTGACAGCCCACAGCCGTCTGTAGGCTGTCTGCAGACTTGGGGATGTGTACAAGGTAGGCTAAGAAGAGGCGTAGAGAGGGACCGTTACATTAACACATTTCCTTGTCGGGAGATTATGTAAGACACATTGATTGCTGTTTCACGTATCGAGAAGTTGACTCAGGTGACTGCTTCTGTACCTGAGGGAACGCTCTGAGTTTTACGATAAAGATCTCATCCAGTTCATCGGAACTCGCCAGTTAAAACGCATTTGTCATTCCTTTTTTTACTCTTTAGGTGTACAAAAGCTTAATGTGCAGAACTTTCTTAAAAAGAAAACAAGTAATTTAAAAAACAAAACCCTGAAACTCAGCTTTTCACATTAACAAGAAAACTAAAGCATGAAAAGCAGTGATAGCTATGCTTTTTAAAACTGATTTCAGGTTTTACTTGTAATGTTCCCAAGAAATCATGTGTCAATGATGCCATCGTTTTTATTTTACAACAGAGACGTGCGTTTTTGTGGCTAGGAGAGCAAGTGGCAGACTCAGGAACTCAGACGCCCACAGGGCCCAGGAGTGACTCCCGGCTAGTCCCCCCACCTGCCACAGGAGTCGAGCCCCCTCGCTCACCCCTGCAGGTCTCCAGAAGCTCCTGTGCTGTAGAAGCTGGAGCAATGATCACCTCTGCCCCACAGGGTCTCTGTGAGTCTGTGGGCACTGCCACCTGCAGAATGCCTCCCTGGCATACAGCAGGCACTCAATGAGCGCTCATTAGCGTCAGGAAGAGTTAAGCAGACTTTTCAAGGTGGCGTTACTTTTAGCACAAAAGAGTGATGCACAAGTAACTTAGAGGAACATATTGTCAATGAAAACTTAATTACTGAATGCCGACTGTATTGGGCATTTTCTCCTAGTAAAATAGTACTTAATATTTATTTATTTTGTGAGGAAGATCAGCCCTGAGCTAACATCCCATGCCAATCCTCCTCCTTTTGCTGAGGGAGACTGGCCCAGAGCTAACATCTGTGCCCATCTTCCTCTACTCTATACGGGACGCTGCCACAGCATGGCTTGACAAGCGGTGCGTCGGTGCATGCCCGGGATCCGAACCTGTGAAGCCCGGGCCGCCTCAGCGGAGCGCATGCACTTAACCGTTACGCCACCAGGCCGGCCCCAATAGTACTTAATATTTTAATATCATCTCCCTCAAACACTACTGGTGTACTACTCTCCTACTATTACTACTGTACCTAATGAATTTGGTGACACTCCCAGCATAATAAATTCCTGACGGCCCCATGAGTCTCTCTAGGGACTTAATAATTGCCTGAAATGCCACTGAACTCTGGAGGTGCACTACGCCCATCTATGCTCGCACCTGCACCGCATCACAGAGAGAGCAGCAGGTTACCATCTGAGAGCCATATCATATTTCAACAATTTTGAGCTACCTCACATTTCAACGAGCCACTGTGCCACTGCTTCATGTATCAGGGAGACATAAGCAAGTACGAAATTAGCAGTGCCTCCCCCCGCAGGGGCACATTAAAATCCTCCTTCAGTATTACAATAAGCACATCACACGAGGAAAAACCCGAAAAGTCTTCACTATATTTGCCTAAGAAATATGACAAAGAAAGGTTTCCTCTCTGCAAGACAAATACACCCATAAATAAATGTGGATTAGCAACAAGGGTCATGTCTACAACCCTTGAAGAGCTAAATTATTCATAAGATGTGCAATTACTCATCTTTCTTTGACAAGTCTGAAACGAACATCGTCAATGAGGATAATGCTGGGATGTTAAAACCCCACTGACCTGGCCTCTATTGCGGGGTGCCTTGTTAAGGGAAACTCTTATGTGTATGGGCGCCGTGGGGCTGTGTCCTGCTTTGCAGGGTTTCATTGAAACTGGTCTCTTGCAAAGAGAACATGTGGTTTCCATGTAAACTTTGTTTCCATACGTACTTTAAAACACGGTGCCTTGCAAAAGAAGGACCGCTTGTAGTTGAAAGAAATGGAGTATCTTTTTCCTTTGATGGTCTCAGCCCTACACACAGAGGACACTCACAGCAAACTTCCAGTCTTTACCAGCTATAAAGACGGTACTGAGAGCGGGCGCCTACCTACTCTAAACTTCTCTGGGTACCTTTACTTTACTCGTGAATAGATAAACAGCAAGCTGCCCCAAACAAAGAAAAGAGCATTTCTACGAGGAAGGCTTTATAACCCGAAGGTATGGAAAAATTCTTTAGGAGACAGGGAAAAGTTCTTAGGAGAAAAGAACAGATTTCTACGGAATTTAGAGTAAGATGCCAAGCGCGCCAACCACAGATGTCCTGATATGAGAAGCAGACACAGGTTTAGGCCGCCCCTGAGGGCTCAGCTTTGCCCCTATGGCTTAGTGGCTGGGCCACCTCAGGCTCGTCCTTTGACATACAATTGCTGTTGAGTTGGATTCAACAATGAGGTTTCAATCAGCCCATCTATGTGTATCCCTACGAATGCGTTGCCACTGTCACTCAATGATTCTTTACGGCTGTGAAACAATAAAAAACATATATTTGGTCTTTGTCCCCAGCTCCTGGCACACAGTTCCTAAAATGCTGGGAATTTCCTAAGCGATTAGAGTGTCTTGTGTTCTTTGTAATAAGCCTCTTTCAATCATGCCTAAGTCTTTGCTAATGAGGGTACCCTTGGCGGGCCCCTAGATGGCTTCAGGATGGGGGCTGGTAACAAAGACCAGGCATGATTAGGGGGTTGGTACTTTGCGCCCTACTCCCACGTCCAGGGAGGGGAGAGGGGCTGGAGATTGAGTTCAATCCTCAAAGGCCAATGATTTCATCAATCATGCCCATGTAATAGAGCCTCCACAAAAAACAGGGTTCTTGGAGCTTCTGGGCTGTGCACATACGGAGGTGCAGGGAGGGTGGCACGCCCAGAGAGGGCACGGAAGCTCTGCGCCCCTCCCACCCCCACCCCCTGCCTTATGCACCTGTTCCATTGGGCTTTCCTGAGTTGTATCCTTTATAACAGACCAGGAAATGCAAGTAGTGTTATGCTGAGTTCTGTGAGTTGTTCTAGTGAATTACTGAACCTGGGAAAGGGGTTGTAGGAACTCCCAAATTTGTAGTCACCTGGGCAGAAGTGTGGGTGGCCTGGGTACCCCATGTGCGGCTGGTGTCTGAGTTGGGGGCAGACTTGTGGGACTGATCCTTTACCCCATGGGCTCTGTGCTAACCCCAGGTAGTTAATGTCAGAATTAAACTGAACTGTGGGAAGCCTAGCTGGGGTCGGAGAAACAGAACAACACTTGAGGTATGTGTGTCGACATATTTCGGCCGTTACAGAGTCAATATAGTAAGTTGGACCCTGGGCCAACAAAGCAGATCATACAAAAATGCCCCAGTCATTCAGCTGCGTTTGGAAGGATGTTTTTGAGCAACGATCCCTACGCTTGTGATGAGTATAGTAAATGGCGGCGTCCCATCTGTTGCCCACTGGTTGGCGATGACAGGCAAACCTTGAAAAAACCTTTCGTGGAAATGCTCTTCTCTGAACTAACGCCCCAGCATAGCACGAATTCTTCAAAGACAGGAAGCATCAGGGAACACAGTGTCACCCCGAGGAATGCCCTCCTGCTGCTAACACACTTATGTCACCAGCAGGAACCTCCCTTTCAAGAACGTCTCCTGCTGTTCTGGAATCTGCCTCTGCAGAGACTCCAGGCTAAGCCCTCCATCTCGGCCGTCACAGCACGTGAGCAGAGTGCGGAGCAATGGTGAACAGCCACTGTCGACTCACTCTAAATGCTCTTCTAAGTTGCAGAAACCACTTGCCCCATCTCCACTGCGGACCCTACATAACGAAGCAGCCCACGGAGGCCAGAGGGGGTCCTTCAGCACAAAGCCCCACCAGCGGCCTCTTTCCAGTGGAGAAACACATAGAAGCCTGGAAACTTTGCGCTGGAAAGCAGAGATCACTGTGAGCAAAAGCTTTGCAGTCACAATATAACACCTGAGAAGCATTTGGGGTGCGGGGTAGTGAGTTTGATGATTTCTGTCTGCACTGCAATGGACATGTGCCTTCCCGTCTGCTCATTACATATAAGGCTGGTGCAGCCCCACGTGAGCGAACGCCGGCCCCCCTTCCCTGTGAATGTCCGTCAGGCAGCATTCTGTGAAAGGTGAGCTTTGTTAGATACGATTGTGCATCCCAGAAGATTTCGGCCAGGGCTCACCGTCCTGGTGACTTGGGGTGGCTACGCTCCCCACCAGACTGGAGTGATCTCACTGTGCTCCTCCCACCCAGGGGCCCCACGGCCCTTGTCTCCAGGTCTAAGGAGCACTCTGCGGTCCCCGTCCACAGGGACCACCAAGAGCACTAGCATTTGACAAATTGTGTTAATGCAGGCGGCCTGCTGCTGCCGTTTCTCATCACCGCTGGACTCACCTTCTCTAAGGGAGGAGGAGGAGAAAACCTCTTGGCACAGGTGAGAAATATGTCTGGCTCTGGCTTCCCCTTCTTCACGTCGGGGTCATCGCCCAAGACGGCGTGGTCGAACAGGCCAAAGAACTCCTTGTGCCTGCTGGTCTTCAGCTCGAATGGCACAGACCCCGAGCTGGTGGCGAGTGCGAAGGGCACGCTGTGCTTCCGCAGGTGGTGGATCAGCTTCTCGGCCCCTAGAGAGGAGGAGGGACCAGCATTCAGTGAGGTGGAGGAGACAGCGGGCCACAAGGACTCCCCACCTAGCTCTGTAAGCCCTGACTCTTGCTCCCTCTTCTCAGGAATTATCTGAGCTGAGACATCTTGTCTTAAGAGGGGTTACCAGCTCTGGAACACCCCTACTCTAAACAAAAGTCAAAAAAGCAAGGCAAGGCTTCGCAATAGCATTTCCCAAAGATGCAGAGGGCGATTTTCCCGGAAAGAAACGTTGCTTTGTTGCTGATCCTCTCTTGCTGAAATGTGGAAACCTGGGGCTAGGGGAAGGCCATGGTCCCAGCGGGGCCTCAGTGAGCCAGGTGTGCGTTCTTTTTTTTTTTTTGGTGAGCAAGATTGGCCCTGAGCTAACATCTCTTGCCAATCTTCTTCTTTTTGCTGAGGAAGATTGGCTCTGAGCTAACATCTGTGCCCACCTTCCTCTGCTTTTTTTTTTTGTGTGAGGAAGATCAGCCCTGAGCTAACATCCATGCCAATCCTCCTCTTTTTGCTGAGGAAGACCAGCCCTGAGCTAACATCCATGCTAATCGTCCTCTTTTTGCTGAGGAAGACCAGCCCTGAGCTAACATCTATTGCCAATCCTCCTCCTTTTTTCTTTTCCCCAAAGCCCCAGTAGATAGTTGTATGACATAGTTGCACATCCTTCTAGTTGCTGTATGTGGGACGCAGCCTCAGCATGGCTGGAGAAGCGGTGCGTCGGTGCACGCCCGGGATCTGAACCCGGGTCGCCGGTAGCGGAGCGTGCACACTTAACCGCTAAGCCACGGGGCCAGCCCTCTACCTTCCTCTGCTTTATACGGGACGCCGCCATAGCATGGCTTGATGAGAGGTGCATCGGTCTGAGCCTGGGATGTGAACTTGCGAACCCCGGACCGCCAAAGCAGAGCACGTGAACTTAACCACTATGCCACCAGGCCGGCCCCGGGTCAGGTTTGTGTTCTGAAGCAATGAATATGCAAGGACTATGCTTTGCATGTTTTCTGAGACAACCCTGTATTCTACAGAAAGCCATTCAATGAATGGTTCCTCAGGCTGCTAGAGAGACGGAATCAAGAAACAGCTTCCACCAGAGGCTGAGGGAAGGCCACAGCTGAGGGAAAGCTGTGGCGCTAAGTAATAAGCAATCAGAGAGTACAATAAACCTCACTGGAGGCAGCTGAGCAACAACCACCCCTGAAAGGAACATTTCCCACGCTCTCATTAACTAAGAGGGTTAAGTACAGGGAACACACAGGTTAACAGTTCTCCATAGAGCCAATGAAGAGAGGGCTGGTCATCAGAAACGTGAGTCAGGAAGGCTGAGTATGGAAACAGTAACATCTAAATACACACACAGTGCTATGGCTATCTAAAAATACTATTTTAAATAATCACATAATCATGACTGTTTTAATCATCACGTGAGACAATGTCCCTGCTTTCTCAATTGCTGCAGAAAAGACTGACCTGGTCATTTTCTCAAACACCGGAAACCACTCAGGAAGGCAACAGATACTGTGAGTGCCTGACGCTTTAGGGAAACAGGCCTAGGAGATGCTGGGAGGAAGGTGTGGATCTCAACTCCACACCAGGACAAAGCTAAAACTTTGTGAAGAATAAAGCAAAATCTAGCACTCTGCTGGATGTAATGTTTACAAACGAAACAGAGAGACTTCAGATCTCGAATGATCAGGTGCATGGAGGATGCAGAGAAAATTGGGGACGAAGGGAACATCTGCCCACTGAGAGCCTCTTCACCTCACCTCACCTCACCTCCTTTTTATGCATAACCAGCAAGATACTGGCGCCTCTTCTCCTGAGATGTAAGTTACCTTATGACAAAGACTCAAATACCAACGTTAGGCCCACCAGTGAAAAGGTGAACTCCGGGTAATAGATTCCACTTGTTCAAGGCTCCCACCTGTGCCCTAAGCTGACAGTCTAGGGGAGCATCCTTCCTGCCTCTTCCAGCTTCTGGGGGCTCCAGGCATCCCTTGGCTTGTGGCCCCATCACTCTGATCTCTGCCTCTGTCTTCACATGGCTTCTCCTCTGTGTCTATGTCCCTCCTCTTCTTCTCTTCTAAGGTCACTAGTGCTATGGACTGAATGTTTGTGTCCCCCAAATTCCTATGTTGAATCCTATCCCCAATGTGATGGTATTAGGAGGGTCTTTGGGAGGTGATGAGGTCATGAGGGTGGAGCCCCCATGAAGAGGATTATTTTTTTGGAATTACAGTAAAATATATCTCAAGTATATCTTAGAATATAGGGCAAAAATTCTAGAAGGAAAACCACTTCAAAGGCTAGGGTGGATAAGGAAGAAAAAGGATATTTGTGTGCCTGATACATTATGGGTGCCTTGTGTGTCAGGAGTCTCTTTCATGGTTTAACCCTAGGTTTAACCTTGTAGGTTAAACCATGTAGGTTTGTAGGTTTGTAGGTTAAACCATGAAAGAGACTCCAGGTCAAATATTAACTGTATGGACAAATCCTTAGCTAGATTAAGAAAAAGAGAGAGAAGACTCAAATAAGTAAAATCAGAAATGAAAGAGGAGACATTAAAACCAAGGCCACAGAAATAAAAAAAGATTGAAGGAGAATAATATGCAAATGTATATGCCAACAAATTGGCCAACCAAGAAGAAATAGATAAACTCATAGAAACATACAAACTACCAAGATTAAATCAGGAAAAAATAGAAAGCCTGGTCACACCTATAACTAGTAAGGAGATTGGCTCAGTAATCAGAAAAGTCCAGGACCAGATGGCCTCACTGGAGAACTTTACCAAACATTTAAAGAAGAATTAACACCAATACCCCTCAAACTTTTCCAAAAAACTGAATAGGAGGGTACACTCCAAAACTAATTCTGTGAGGCCAGTGTTACCCTGACACCAAAGCCAGACAAAGACACTATAAGAAAAGTACAGATCAGTAATCTCTGATGAATATTGATGTAAAAATACTCAACAAAATACCAGCAAACTGATTTCAACAGCACATTAAAAGGATTATACACCACGATCAGGTGGGATTTGTTCCTGGAATGCAAGGATGGTTTGACACACTAAAATCAACGTGAGACACTATATTAACAAAATGATGGACAAAAACCACAGATCATCCCAAGTGATGCAGAAAAAGCATCTGACAAAACTCAACACCGTTTCTAAACACTCAAACTAGGAATAGAAGAAAACTACCTCAACATAATAAAGGGCCATATATGAAAAGCCCACAGCTGACATCATACTCAATAGAAAAAGGCTAAAAGCTTTTCCTCTGTGATCAGGAATGAGATGACAATGCTTTCTCTTGCCACTTCTATTCAACAGAGTACTGGAAGTCCTAGCCAGAGCATTTAGGCAAAAAAAAGAAATAAAAGTATTCAAATTGAAAAGGAAGAAGTAAAGTTGTCTCTGTTCACAGATGACACAATCTTATATGTAGAAAACCCTAAAGATTCCACACACACACACACAACTGTCAGAATTAGTAAACAAATTCAGCAACACTGCAGAATACAAAAATCAACATGCAAAAATCAGTTGCGTTTCTATACGGTAACAATGAACAATCTGAAAAGAAAATAAAAATTCCATTTACAATAGCATCAAAAAGAAACAACCTTAATCAAAAAGGTGAAAGACTTGTACACTGAAACTACAAGACATTGCTGAAAGAAATTAAAGAAGAAGACACCAATAAATGAAAACACATCCCATGTTCATGCACTGGAAGATTTGATATTATTAAAATGTCCATACTACCCAAAAAGGCATATAGATTCAAAGCATCTCTACCAAACTCCAATGCGTTTGCTACAGAAATATAGAAATCCATCCTAAAATTTATATGGACTCTCAAGGGACCCAGAATAGCCAAAAGAATATTGAAAAAGAACAACAAAGTTGGAGGTCTCACACTTTCTGATTTCAAAACATATTACAAACTAAATTAATCAAAACAATGTGGTGCTGGCATACAGAAAGACCTATAGACCAGTGGAATAGAATAGTGAGTGCAGAAATAAACCCTCACATATAGGGTCGAAGATCTTCAACAAGGGTGCCAACACCTTTGAATGGGGAAAGGACAGTCTCCTGAACAAATGGTGTTGGGAAAAACGAATCTCCACATGCAAAAGAATGAAGCTGGACCTTCACCCTATACCATATACAAAAAATTAACTCAAAATCCATTAAAGAGCTAGACATAAGACATAAAACTATACAATTCCCAAAGGAAAACAGAGGGAGAAAGCTTTATGACATTGGATTTTGTAATGACGTCTTGGATATGACACTGAAAGCTCAGGAAAGACCAAAAACAGCCAACGGGACTGAATCAAACCTAAAAAGTTCTGCGCATCAAAGGTCATAATCCAGAGTGAAAAGGCAACGTATGGAACGGGAGAAAATATTTGCAAATCATATATCTGACAAAGATTTTATATGCAGAATATACAAAGAATTCCTAGAACTCAACAAGAAAAAACCAAATGACGCTATTAAAAAATGAGCAAAGGACTTGAATTGACATTTCTCCAGAGAAGATACACAAATGGCCAACAGCATCTGAAATGATGCTCCACATGACTAACCAATAGAGAAACACAAATCAAAACCACAACGATACCACTTCACACACATTATGATGGCTACTATCACAAAAACACAGAAAATAACAAGTGTTGGTGAAAATGTGGAGAAACTGGAACCCTTGTGGACTCGTGGAGGGAAAACAAAATGGTGCAGCCATGATGGAAAACACTACGGTGGTTTCTTAAAAGATTAAAAATAGAATTATCAGATAATCCAATAATACCACTTCTGGATATATACCCAAAAGAGAACAGGATCTCAAAGAGGTACCTGCACTCCCAGGTTCATAGCATTATTCACAATAGCCAAGAAGAGGAAATAAGTCAAGTGTCTATCGACAAATGAATGGATAAACAAAATGTGGTCTATCCAAACAATGGAATATTATTCAGTCTTAAAAAGGCAGAAAATGCTGACACGTGCTACAACATGTATGAACCTTGAGTACGTTATGCTAAGTTCAAAAAGTCAGTCACAAAAGGACAAATATATGAGTCCATTTATATGAGGTCCCCAGAGGAGTCAAATTCACAGAGACAGAAAGTAGAATGGTGTTACCAGGGGCCAGAGGGAGGGAGGAACAGGGTGTGAGTGTTTCACGGGGACAGTTTCAGTTTTGCAAGATAAAAACGTTTTAGAGATGGATGGTAGTGATGGTTACACAACAAAGTGAACACAGTTAACATTACTGAACTGTACACTTAAAAACAGATAAGATGGTAAGTTTTAAGCTATGTGTTTCTTACCCTGATTAAAAAAACTTAGCTGTATGGATGTGTTTCCATCATTAAGGCTTGCCAGGGTAACACAATGCAGAAAGGCAGCAGATGCAGCGAGTGTGTATCATGGTGCTTGTACCCACATCTGAGGGTCACACATCCACATGTGTGCACACGTGTGTGTTCGTGTGTATGTGTGTGTAATCTAAGAACAGCCCACATGGTTTCTATGTGACTTATTAGCAGGGCCCTTTACAGGAAATTCTCCAGTTCCAGGTAACATTCAACCTGCACCTTTGGATTTATGTATAAATATAAATAACACAAGTTTCAAAAATGACTGTGAGTCATATTAACACAATTTTCAATCTAAAATTACTGCTATAACTGTAAATTTTTTCTCCCCTCGCACCAGGAATTCTAAAGCCCGAGTATTCACTTTTCTTCCTGAAAGAATCTTAAAATAGTACTCCATTTTTAAGCATTTTTTGGCCCCGTAATCTAGAACATTCTTGATCTTCTCCCTTTTAGCAAGAAATAGCAGGCAATTCAGTTCTGATCGATCTTCAGCTAACAAGCCCCAAGGGAGAAAAGTCATCTTACCGTTAAAGGAAAACAAGTAAAGAAAGGGTAAAGGGCATAGAAACAGACATGCTGAAAATGAATTATGCCTTTGACTTTTTTTAAAAATGTAAGCTTCTTTAGGGAGATTTATCTGCTTGCCTATTGTCAATTTGTTAAAGTTTGAATAGTTGCTGAAACATTAATCCTGTATCAGATTTTGAAAAGAGAAAGGCAAAGCCATCTATTAAAGTTAAACTTGGAAGCAATTCTGTCATGAATCCAATCTTTACATAATATTGATACAAACAAAATTCAAACATTTTTGGACCTCAGAGTCAGTGAAAGGAATGTATACGATTTTAAGAGCCCTTAAAGACAAGATTGAATCACAGCCCACAACAGGGTCGACCACACTCTCTCTGGAGTACCTCTGAGCCTCAAACAAGAAGAGAATTCTCTGAGAAGTTATCAAGACAAAAGAACAGACTAAGCACGCCCCGCATTAGACTTTAGTAATCTAGACTGACAACAACATTGCTAATAGTCACAAACATAATCCTGAAAACAGCGAGGGGACGGCACCTGGCATCAGACCGGCCGTGGGGAACAATGCAGTTAACTTCGCCTGGGTCTCTTCCACCAGCTCCTCCGTGGATATGGGGAGCTGCAGGACATCGATGACGATCTGGGCCACCTCGAATGCCTTCTTGCCCATAACGAGGGCCTTCACATCCCAGGTGAAATCCTTCTCATAGCGAGCACACACTTCTTGAAACACCACTGAATACAGCGGTTCGGTATCTGCAGAAACAAAGACAAGACAAAGACATTGAGATTTTCAGGGTGCACACTATATTCACATGAAGTCTCTATCAGATAAAGCGTCTATATACACCGTGTAGGTCACATGCAGGAAAAAAGCTTTCTGCAGAGACCTGTAGAAATGGTGGAACGTTCGCAGGTCATTAGGACTAAATAAGGCCTTGGGCGGCCTCCTCAGTCTGCTGGGCTATCTTCGGAGCTGCGATCCAGAAAGTGAAAAAGTGGGAGAGAAATAAGTCTATCTGATGGTTAAATTGTCTTTTATTTAACATGTATGTATCTGAGTCTAAATATGCACTTGGGATCGTGAACTCCATCCGAGGCTACATGAGCTCGTCACCTGGTATTTCCAAGCGTGCCTAGAGACAGACATGCACAAGGGCCTGTGTGTGTGGCCCTCTGCTGTTAGGGACACTTTCACGGCCCTGAGAGACTCCTCCCAACAGGAGTGCCTGGTGGTGTGTGCTGCTGTGAAGCCCCGCCTGAGAACGGACCCTTCTGTATAGGCCTGAGTAGGGAAAACACACCTCCTGTGTTTCCCCTTTGCTCTCACACTAATCCACACTCACAACACTCCTGTCACCAGATGTGGGGGGGTTTGTCTCAGACCAAGCAATTGTGCTGGGTGTCCCATAATTCAACTCAATTCTGACACCATCTACCCGGAGTTAGCATCAGATCCCACAGGTTAAGGGCGCAGTCCCACAACACTGCTCCTCCTCCCCAAAACACACACTTCAGACGCCAATTGCAAGGCCAGGCTGTCACCTGTGCTTCTGATCGCTTGGCTCTAAGTCAGATGTTCAATTAATTTGCTAGAGCTGCTCACAGAACTCAGAGAAATATTTTACTTACTAGATCACTGGTTTATTATAAAAGGATATGATAAAGGATATGGATGAACATCCAGAGGGAAGAGATGCGTAGGGCAAGGTATGTGGGAGGGGGCATGGAGCTTCTGTGCCCTCTCCCAGCGCACCATTCCCATGGCACCTCCTGGAAGTTCTCCAACCCCCGTACTCTAGGAGATTTTTATGGAGGATCCCTCACATAGGCATGATGGATCATAAACTCCATTTCCAGCCCCTCTCCCCTTCCTGGGAGGATAGGAGATGGGGCTGAAAGGTCCAAGCTACCGATTACAGCTTGGTTTTTCTGGTGACCAGCCTCATCCAGAAGCCCACCCAGAGTTGCCTCATTAGCACAAAAGACACTCTGATCAGCCAGGAAATTCCAAGGGATTTAGAAGCTGGATGTCAGGAACCAGGGTCAAAGACCAAACATCAGAACAAAAGATGCTCCTCGTGCTCTTACCACTTAGGGAATTACAGGGGTTTGGGGAGCTCTGTGCCAGCAACCAGGGGCAGAGACCAAAATATATCTATCTCCTATTATCTCACAAGGTCTTACCAGGTAACGGTGAAAACTTGGCCTGCGAATTAGATCCCAGAGTGGCACTTTCTAGGGGTAAAGCCTCAGGCAACTTACTTAACCTCCAGGGGCCTCCCTCTCACATTAACAGGAGGTGAACAAGACTACTGGTAATAACAGTACTGATACTACTAACATACAGTATAGTTAATTATACACAATAAATATAGAGCAAATTATATACAATATAATATATAGTACCATCTATATTTATATTTAATGTTTTTATATATTTATATTTAATATACAGTATTAATGGTACTGATACTATTACTGATACTAGTACTATGAAAGTACAGTAGTACTCTTGTGAGAACTAACCACTTCAGAGGCTGGATGTAACGTTCTCAGAATGGAAATTCCAGTTCTAATTAGCTATGAGGTCAACCACCCTAACTTTAGCATTAAGGTCACATATGGGTCAAGAAGCAACATTAATGGTACCTATTCTGTACTGAATTTGTGCAGTTTCACCCAATAACGGTTCCTGAAAAGAGCTGAGTGACTTCAATGGCTTTTAACTGGTTTTCCCACAAGCAGATGGAAACATACAATCCTGGTGCCTAAATACTACTTCTGTTTCCTTTAAGATAATATTTGGGAAACCCAGCATGTGGTGAAGAAAAGGTAGACAGAAAGAGAAGGGAGTGGGGTGTGTGTGAACCTATGAACCTATGTTCTGAACCAATGAATCAACAGATGTGTCTATATATATTTACGGTGATACACATGTTCATAGATTTATGTGCACACAAGTTTACACACTTATCTACGACTGCCCGAATCCATTTAGAAAGTTGTCAGGGTATGAACTGCTCAGGAATGAGAGAGCTATGGTAGTTTAACCCTGGAGCATCTGCTCCTCCCCAGACACCCAGTCTGAGGGCTACCTGCAGCACTGGCGGCACCCCGAGTCTGCGGACAACGGAAGGCAGAGGGCTGTCTCTTCGGAGCCATTGCAACTCTGGTGTCACCTGGGCTGTATCATTTGCATTCTTCTCAGGGAAGGTGAAGGGGCCCCGGAGCAATAGACCACACCCACCACCTTTTGGCCAAATCCATGACCCCAGGTGAAAGGCAGTTCTTCTGCAAGTGCAAGTCTCCCACATTGGTGGCTACCACCTCTACCTTAGGTGGCATCTCTAACCAGGGGTGTCTGCTGCAGTTTCCATGGCTCTGTGCTCACAGGACTAGCTAGGCTCATAAATTCAGCAAGGATGCTCTGGCCGCCAGCTCTGTGGGTGTCGCCCAGCGTTAGCGACCCTCCTAGTCCCTGGCTCACCGCAGGTACTGGGGAATCTGGCTCTTGCTGGCTGCACAGGCTGAAGCAGGCACCCTCGCTCCCTCCCCTGTGAACTCTGGGGACCGTGCTCCCTGTGAACCTGGCTCTTCCCTCAACTTTCAGGGCGGGCCGCGCCCCTTGCCTGCTTCTCCCAGCTGCTGACTCTGCTTCTCCTTTCACTGCCCCTCTGAATGTCACCCCTGGACCCTCAGCCCCATGGTGGGATGCTTTGGCCTCGACAGTGACCAGAAACAGAAAGAACTTTTCTTTTCCCTCTGCTTTTCGAGGCAAAACCACCCACAGCTGCGTATCAGGTACAACTTCATCGTTAGCACTTGAACTATTTCGATCCTTGTTTTTCGACCACAGGCTGGATTTTACTGGACACAGTAAAACACACAAAACAAACAGATCTCAGAATCTCCACCCTCATGGGTACTTGAAACTGCTCCGGCATGACCCCTGGATTGGAGGATAAGTGCCTGCCCTTTGTTCTGTTTGGTTTTTTGGTACAAAAGATGGTAGGACTTGAGGAAAAGCCTTCCTGGAGACATCTGTAGAAGAAGCCAGTGTTTGGATAATAACCAGAGTGGCTCAGGGTTCTCTAGAAAGGACCCTGCACTTAGTCACACACTGGAGGGAAGGGCCAGCCCACACTTGTCCTCACTGGTGAAAAAGCCATCTAGGGTGGAGGGTCGCCCGTAATGCACGCTCCTTCTCTGTTCGTCTTCCCTGGGAGGGGGAAGGAGTGAGGCTCGCAGGGCACGGACACGGACAGACTGGCGGTGAGGCAGGATGTTTCCCTTTCTTCCCTTGAACGCTTTTTCTTCTAGTAGGTGACAGAGGAAGATGCTGACAAAAGGAAACCGTAGGCACCAAGCGAGTGAGAAACTAGTGTCAGGTCTGAAAGACAAGAGGGCGAGGAAAAGGAGCAGAGGCCAGGCAGGAAGACGCACGTAGTATTCCGGGCCCCTTGCTAAAGCAAGTGGCTGAGGAAGAAGAAAGGGGCATGAAAAAATACTAATTCCAAAGGCAGAGAAATAACTATATCCTTTTAAAATGATTTAAACAGTGTTTATCTGAAGCTTAGAAAGTCACAGAGCTTTTAATTTAAAAGACACAGACTGGAGGGATTCTAAATCTGTGGGAGACTGCACAGACGGCCACTTTTCTTCACAATTTAGATAAAATCATCCCAAATCCTCAGCGAATAAGCAAGGATCTAAACAAGCAATTAAGGTCCTCAGATCCGAGGCTGGCTATGCCAGCTGATGACAGCAAACTTGGAATTAAAGGGACAGCATTTTAAAAGGAAACAAGTCTCCAGAAGCTAAAATGAAGGAGGATAAAATAGCCGTGCCAAGCTATCAAATGCATATGCTCCCTTGCTCACGAGCTTCAGGCTTTTCAGCTTGCCTCAGTGTTATTTTTCACAGGAAACTCAACATGGTTTTGAACATGCGACAGCCACATAAGAACTACCTTCCTTAGGCGTGTTAGAATAATATTCCGCGTAAAGGCAAACCTCACACCTTGACGGAACCCAGGCAGAAGTCTGGGCAGCTGCTGCAGGTGAAGCCATCAGGTGGGTGGTGATGGGAGGGCATCAGATGCGAGACGGAAACTCGGCCACCCGGGCCCAGACGCCGCAACGTTGACATTTTCATCATGAGCAGCACGCGTGGTGCCCAGGTGGGAAATGTAAGGCTTTCGAGTTTAAATTCACTGAACTATTAGAGAAGGCATCATTGCACCTGGAGGCAGGCTACGCCTGGGGCCGCTAAGTTTTGTCTAAGGCTGAGGTTCTGTAATTGTAATGTAATTAGTACCATCTTTTATCATTGAGCACGTATTTAAATGTTTGCTGAGTCCATCCCTGGCTCTCGGAGGACGGCATCAGTTTGCGTGTCACCCCATAAAGAGCAAGGGGTGAGGGCATTTCCCCACGTCTCCCTTGCAGGAAACTGTACTCCCTGACCGTGCACACAGGCACCTAATTCCAATTTGAAAAACCGTTACATTATTTAATAGGAAAACACCTTAAATCAACCTGTCACTAGCGAGCATCTGTTATGACACCTGATTTTCCAGCCGACTCCCGTTTTTGTTTCCATACAAGGCCTAGAATGAGGTACTGGGAGAAAGCAAGGTGTCGGGAATCTGAGGGATGAGCAGTGAAGTTCCAGCTCAGCCACTTTTTAGCTGTGTGTCCTGGGACGAGTTTCTTAACCTCTCTGACTTGTAGTTTCTGTCGGGGGAACTATGGCAGCCACTGGGCTGCAGAAGAGGGGGGTCAGAAGACTAGGTGTAGTGGGGCAGCAGGTGCTCTGAAGCCAGGTGGCCTGGGTTTGAGGCCCTGCTCTGCAGCTGACCAGCTGCTGACATCTGCTGAAACGTGCTCAGCCCCTTGCTGGGCCTCGGTTTACCTATCCGTAAAGTGGGAATACGAATACCCTCACACACCTTCTAGGCAGTTGTGTCAATTAAGTGGCATCATCTATGCAGAGACCTGAGCACCGTGCCTGGCCAGAGTGAACCCCTAGCTCCAGCGTGTGAAATTATCAGGGGGCATCTGCCTGGTAGCTGCTCCGCGGAACGCTCTTAGTTGTCATTTGTGAGTTAAGAGAAAGTTAGAAGATCTGCTTTCTCTGTGTACCCCCAGGCTCCAATAACGGCAAAGACAGCTTTAATCTGGCAAATTAAAGTGCCTGTACCAAATATTTTACTTAACAACAACAAAAAAAAAACACCCAAACTATTAACTATTTGGAATTCATTCACAAAAGTATTGCACCTGCCAGGAGCCGGCCCGGTGGCACGGCGGTTAAGTGCACATGCTCGGGTTCGGATCCTGGGCGCGCACTGACGCACCGCTTGTCAAGCCATGCTGTGGCAGCGTCCCATGTAAAGTAGAGGAAGATGGGCACAGATGTTAGCCCAGGGCCAGTCTTCCTCAGCAAAAAGAGGAGAGTTGGCATGGATGTTAGCTCAGGGCTGATCTTCCTCACCAAAAAAAGAAAAAAAAAAAAATCGCACCTTCCAGGCACATGGGACTAGCTTCATAAATGCTGGTTAACTGTCCGGCCTGGTACAGGAACATAATTCCTTGTCCCCAGTTCCATAATCCATAAACTTCTGGAAACATAAGTTTTCATGTAGCAGCAAAACCTGACTTGGACTAGCACGTGGTGGTTTTAATGTTTAATATTTACCACACCGTGTGTGAATCTTCACAGACTTCTCTACAGAAATACCAATGGGTTTGATTACGGGTGCTGCCCCAGACCCCACCCCCCGAGACTGTATACATCACAGAACATATTCATTCTAATACCTCTTTAAAACAACAATTAAAAAAATCTAAATACAACTGCCTCCACAGGTTTCAGAAAAGGGAATCTGAACCCACATTGGTTACGGCTTCCTAGTCAAGTCATACCTTGCATATCTTGAATAAAGCAATTTAATGCTTTTCAAAACTTAGTATATCTTGAAAATAGTCTTACTTTTATTATTTCCACTTATAAAAAAATAATGGGAGGGGCTGATGTAAAGCCAGTGTTTTGTTGTTAACAGACAAGTTAGTTCCGTAAAGATACAGAATACGTTTTCACAGGGAAAGGCCCATCTTGAGCTAAAATCAAATGATCACAACCTGGCAGAAGTGAAGACATAGTATAGACTGCATGCCTTCTCTCACCCAGAAATATAGCAGTGTTTCTGAATGCAGTGAAAACCACATATTTTAAATGTGCAATGGCTTCAATAATAAAAACCGAGCATACAGTACATTTTGATGAAAGGGCTGGTGTCATTTTTCTAAGCCATCTTGATAGTACACGGTAGGTAACTGGTAATTGGTGAATAGATTTTTTTTTTTAATTCACTGATTTTGTTCTTCTAAGATAGTCTACCACTGATTTCCTTAACCCCCTGGTTCTCAAAGTGTGGTCCATGGATCAGCAGCATCAGGAATGAGACCAAAACAGGCTTTGCTGAGTTAAATGAATCAGTGATCAGAACTGAAAAGCTCATTAACATTTGCTGAAAAAATACACAAAGGAACAGTCAAATACCTGTAAAGGTAAGGGAAACTTTACCTACAGTCAAATACCTACAGAGGGACACTTTACAAAAAGAGTGATTAAGAAAATGTCGGTATAGGGGCCAGCCCAGTGGCATAGTGGTTGAGTTTGCAGTCTCTGCTTTGGTAGCGCAGAGTCCGTGGGTTCGAATCCCGGGCACGGACCTACAGCACTCATCAAGCCATGCTGTGGTGGTGTCCCACATACAAAATGGAGGAAGGCTGGCACAGACATTAGCTCACGGCCCATCTTCCTCAAGCAAAAAGAGGAGGATTGGCAACAGATGTTAGCTCAGGGCCAATCTTCCTCACCAAAAAAAAAAAAAAAAAGAAAAGAAAGAAAATGCCAGTACATAAACCAGAATGTTTTTCCCAGCTGAAGACCTACTGAAATGTCATCCTCTGCTAACCCGGACCACCTGGTGTCCAAGAAACTCCCCAGACATGAAAACAGAAGTCAGGCAGAGGGATGTCAGAGCCGCACTCGGTCCTAGCAGTATGGGGAGGAGAAAGAAAACAAGAGGATGCGGACCTGAGATGATGAGAAGGGCGGTGACGGGTTCTGTAGCAAACGCTGCAGGATCTGACCCG